TTGATGTTGCTAAATAGAACACCTCATGCACATGGAACAATCTCCCCCAACGTCGGCGTCACATAAGTATCCCTAGGAGCACCCACTAGAGCCTTCAAATGGATGTGAACGGTGCCTCACAGACACAGGGTCCTCATGCCTGTATTGCATCCAAATTTGTCCTGATAGGATAACATCACTGAACGATGGCAAGGAGTTCCTTGTCACACAGCTCAAAGACCAAACACTTGATGGTGTTAAATAGAACACCTCATGCACCTGGGATAAAATATCCCAAGGTCGGCATTGCCTGAGTGTTTATCTCCAGTTCCAGATCCGTACCATCCTGAGGAACACTTACTGGAGCCTTCAAGCGGATATGAATAATGACTAGGAGTTCTTGTCACATGGATGAAATTATATAGGGTGCATTACTAATGTAAACGACCAAGAATACTCCTCGTTCAGGTCGGCACCCGCGTCAAGTCCTAGTTCAACTCTCGAATACGAATAAAAACACTTACTAGGCCATGGCCTTGCCCCTCCGAGATATGTTGGTCAAGTGATGGCGAGTGGAGTTCTCACAGTTACCCTTGAACGTGTGCAAGGCCGGCACTGATTCATTGTCGCCAATCAGTCGGTTCAGAGAGATCCGATCTCGATGCGTAAAATCATGGTTTGCAGCCGATTGAATGGAGATTTGCCTAAATGGGGATAGATCACAAGCCATGATTTAAGCTTCGTGGCAACCAGCCGACGTCGGAGGCAAAGAGGTGGCCTGATGAGATGATGAATTTGCAATCGGCACCCGTCGGCTGTCCATTATCAACTGCATGGGGTATATGCGGCAAATGTCGGCATGCTGCCAAGCGCCGGGAAGAAACGGCATTGAAGTTCCCAGGCCGTGCCTTGTTTCTTTTTTCACCCCCTTATTGCCTTGTCTTGCCTGCCAACAACCTCCGTTACCATGAGCAAACGAGGCAAAACCAACTGGGAGTTGTCAGGTAACTCGAACACGTATCTCTTCGATGTGGAACAAGAAGAAACCCGGCATGGTCGTAAGAGAACTAAGTTGGTTCCAACTCTGCAGGCATTTCAACCTGAGCAAACGCCATCAAACATGAATCCACCTACGAACAAGTCTATGTTTGAAACCCAAGTGGAGATGGAGTATCAGGATCCTGAAGTCCCCGAAGGACCTACTCCGGTGCCGAAGCGATCCTATGTAAGCAAACGAAGATTCTTTCAATTGCTTGACTTCATTCGATGCTAGCTGCAATCCGATTTTATGAAAGACTGGTTGGCAGTCGAAGAATCGTACTTGGGAACGATGGTAGAACAAGAGTGCCGGAAGTCTGATTCATGCCGAACATGCGGAGTGAAGGAAGCCAGTTGGAGATGTCTTTCTTGCTTTGGCGTGCCAGAGCTTTGCCAAGGCTGTATGCGTTCCACGCATCAGAAGCTGCTCTTCCATGCACTTGAGGTCTGGGACAAAGACCACTGGTCGGCGGCGTCCTCAACCTCTCTCGGGCTTGCCATTAATATGGGGCATGATGGGGATATATGCCCTTGTGCAAAGTTGCCCTCATGGCACACTAACAACAACGACGCCGACGATTGGATGGATGTAGACGACGCCGACAATGGTGAAGATATCCACGCCGACAACACCACAAAGAAGACCCTTGCACAAGAAATCATGGACTACCGCCGAGGGACACCGCTCCAACTGTACGCCGACGACACCACAGAGCGACGCCGACCACAAGTAGCACACATAACTGTGATAGATGTATCTGGCGTCTACGAACTACCCATCAACTGGTGTCAATGCGAGCCCATGGCCGCCCATCACAAGCAACTCCTTGACATGAGGTTATATCCCGGTTCTCAAAAGGCACCTAGGACGGCATTCACATTTGATGTTCTTAACGACTTTATGGTGGCAAACTTGGAGACGAAGGTCGCTCCCAATGCATACTGGAGGCGTCTGATGCGAGTCACAAACACTATCCATCCGGATGTAATCCCAGTCGGTGGCCGTGAACACTTCTTACGCCGCATTTCCACTAAAGTGACTCCTAGGATCGGTACCGTGAACTGACGCGGTGTGCACGCCAGTGGCTAAGGCTGACAACGCGGCAACAACATGGACATGGCTATGGTCTGCATGATGAGGAAACAGCGGTAGGATCACTGGCACCCTTCTGCATGGCATGCCCGCAGCCAGGCAAGAACCTGCCTGAGGATTGGAAGAATACTGGGTACGTCTAACAACAACACATGTTCATTCTCTTACCGTGTCACAGACCAAAGTGGATGCATTATCAGCATCTTGTGCTTGATGGGAATTTCAAGCAGCAAAACCTTCACATGCGGCGTCCAGAAAACGACGTAGGGTTTGCCGACGGTCTGGCATACACCGTCAACAAGGAGAAGTACGAGGCGCACTTGGCTAGTACAGAGAATAACTATGCGGTAAGTATTGGGTGATACCGCGCATCACGCCGACAGACTCACAGGTACCCCAGAGGTCAACTTGCAATAATCACCGAGCGGTACAATCCAAGCGGCATACCAACCACCTACAGTCGACTGGCATTGTCTCTGTAGCCTGTGCCAGGCATGGTGGGTTTGTCCCCAATGCGACCGCCGACTTGAAGGCTGGAGAGAAGTGAGTCACCATATGACCTATGCGGATCTACGCCGACTATTCCCTCAGGCAAGCAAATTCTGACGCCGTCGCCTCAAATGCGGGTTGGCAGTGGCCCCTACTTCTCGGCATCATTCTGTATTATGACATCATGTGTCAGTACATCATCAACTTCGCCAAGCGCATGAAGAAAAGCAAACATTTGTCCTGGCCAGATGGGGTGGAGCTTATCCCTGCAATCGGTCTCTTCCACGTCCATGGTCACAAGGACGAGTGCGTCGCTAAGTTCTCGCCTACGTTTATTGAAGGTACTGGCCACGTCGACGGTGAAATCCTTGAGACCCTCTGGGCGGCATTGAATGACATTGCGGCAAGCACTTTGAATATGTCGACATCCTGGCGGGTGGACGTTCTCAATGCTCACATGCGATGGTCTAACCTTCGTAAAATAATGGAAATCGGTGCGTTTGTATGCCGCCTTGAT